ATATGTCCACCGACCTCGATCCCCCGAGGAGAGGGGGGAGAGATCCAAGCTACCCCCACCTTATGGCCTACTCATGTTTTACAATGGCGAGCTCCCCTTGCCTTGGTTGGTGTTTGAGATCAGCTTGCTTGTGCGCAACTCATAATGCCCGAGCTCGTCGAAAGACTAGCATCAATTTGCTTTTCTTGACTCCATATTGAATGTCTTTCCTCGTCCTAAGAAGCTAATGTAATGAATTTCTGAGGTCGCACTAAAGGTCTCATACCCCTAGTGTCAACCTTGAGGCATAGGGCATCGACCTGGACCTCAATTCTCCCAAATAGAGTTACAATGTCTGGCATCGCCTATTGTCGCTAGGAGTGGGCGTCGGTTCGGTTCAGGTGATACCCGAATTTTATTTCGGATATTCGAAAATTTCGGGTGATGTTTTTTACACCCGATATCCAAACCAATTTTTATTCGGAAATGTTCGGTTTGGGTGAAATTATTTCGGGTTAGTTTGGATATACTCAAAATATTATTTTATCAATTTTGAATTTTTTTTAATGATTTTATTATTTTATTATTTATATTTTTTCATATACTATCAAACTAAAAATAAGACAAATACTAATAATTAATCAATAGACTTTTAAAAATTAATATATTATTAATTATGAAATACATTTAAAACTAAATATATAAATTATATGCCAACTACCATGTAGTGAGATGACATCCTGATTACCATTCCAATTGGATGGTCATAAGTTGGAACCCTGGTGGATGGGGGCTTAGATTCTTTGAGTTGAAAATGTTTGAGAAGGTATAAGACAGATACTACCTTGCAAAGAATATGATTTTTTAAAAAATATATATATAAATTATATTATTATATTTATAATAAAATTTCGATTAGTTCGGGTCGGGTTTGAATAAATTTTTAACACCCGATATCCGAACCAAATTCATATTCGGAAATACCAAAATTTAAAATATCCAAACCGATAACTATTTGGGTTCACCCAAAGTTTAATATTCAGTTCGGGTTTCGGGTGTTAGTTCGGATAATTTGAATTAGCCCACCCCTAATTGCCGCACAAAAGGATTAATTTTTTACTAACGCCCAAGCGCGTTGACCTCGAGCTTTGATTATCCTTATTGCCACTACGAGGTTACGTTAAACCTCTCCTAGTGCGGAATTAAGAATTTGGAGGGCTATTACATCGTTACCGCTGTAATACGCCACGGTAGCTATAAGCTAAAGACCCTGAAAGGAAAACAAGTAAATATGGTGTGGAACTCCATGCACCCGAGCAAATATTTCAAATAATTTCTTTTGTAAGGTGATCTGACCTCGCCTATCACCAAACGGAAGAATCTTTTTGGCCCGAGGTCGAATGACCTTGGCCAAAACGGCTAACTCCCTAGGGGTGGTATGAAGCACCGTCCTCACCTATTACTGAATGGAATAACCTTTTTAGCCAGGTCGAATGACCTTGACCAAAATGGCTAATGCCCTAGGGGCAATATGAGGTCCGACCTCGCCTATCGCTAAACAGAAGAGTCTTTTTTGCCTGAGGTCGAATGACCTTGCTAAAAACGGCTAATGCTTAGGGGCGATACGAGGCCCGACCTCGCCTATCATCGAACGGAAGAGTCTTTTGGACCGAGGTTAATACTGTTGGCGAAAATGACTAACTCATAAAAAAAAAAAAGATAAAAAAAAAAAAAACGAGTCCATGATGCGAGCAAAATCGTATGAGGTTTTCCAACTGCCCTATATGGAAACCGAGCCTGAGCTCGACCACCATGAGCATATGGAGCCTTAGCTCGGCCACCATGAGCGTATGGAGCCCGAGCTCGTCCACTGATAAGCCTCAAAATATGCTAGTTTTTAGGAGCCTTTGATAGGAGTTTTGTGCTCCTTTTAGGTGGAAAGTCTTGCTTTTTATAGTGAAATATCCCAAAAGCACGGTTTAGTATGGAAATGCCTTCCTAATTGTATTTTACGTGTTTTTAGGTATTTTTGGAAGAAGAAATGGTAAAAGGAGTCAAAATGAGCAAAGCCGAGAAAAGAGCGCACACGAGGACCACAAGCCACGCTCGTGAGAAGGAGTAAAAATGAATTATTTCCCATTTATGCCCCTCGTCACGGCGTGAGACCAGCGTAAGGGAGCTAAGGCGAGAAGCTAGTTTAATTCCTCATTCACGGAGGCCTCACGGTGTGAAGGCCTGAGTAAATCCAAACTTAAAAAGCCGGACAGAGCTGGACGCGGAAGGGAATTATTTCCCATTTACGCCGGCTCACGGTGTGACGCCGTGCGTAAATGGGAGGATGAATGAAATTGGCTATTTTAAGGGAAAATTCTGATTCGGAAGAGGGAAGTTCAACACATTTTGAGAGAAGTTCCAGAACATTTTAGAGAGAGTTTTCTATAGGGTTTAGATAGTTTTTAGAGAGAGAATTTAGACCTAAATTAGATCAATCTTTCCTTTCACTAGATTTTAGCCAAAATTGCTTGATTGTACAAGAGATTTGGAGATTTGGAATCAAAGGCTTTTGGATCTTCATCATCTTCTTGGCATCGAGAGGATATCTAGCTTGCAAAGTGAGTAAATCCTATCCATTGTTCTTCATTGATATTAATCTCCTTTGCATTTGCTTGATCTTGGTTATAATGATGATTGGCTAGAATTCAGGGATTAGGATTGTTGTGTAGATTGCTATTGTGTTGATGGATTTGATTTGATTGATTATATTGTGGTGGTTGTTGATGTTGTTATTTTGATCTTGTTGTGGAGGGTTGACCTTTGTGACTTCTTTGGAGTAGGGCCAGACTTCTTGGAAGGTTTGGATTCCATAATTTAGACAAGAGATTGCTAAATCAAGGTAGGCCCGTTCATCATCTACATTCACCGCCCTAGATCCGAGAGGATAATGGTATGGGAAGGAATGTAGGTAAGGTGTTCGTGAGTTTGCCCCTTAGGATTTATGAACACCTGGGTGTCATACTTAGCTAAGGGAGGCGTTTAGACTGAAATGGCGACGTACTAGCAACATTTCTCTTGACATGTAACCCATCACTTAACCACCACAACCTCTCAATTGCGGGAACAATCCATCGCGCAAAGCAATTGAAGCACAATCCTAATCCGCCTTTCTCTCTCTTTTTTCTCATATCTTTTCAATTCATTATCTCTTTTGCCCTGATCAAACTATACTCAATTTTACCTTGAATCGAGTCGCACAAAGCCTGTACAACCTCACCGGACCCTTCTACTCAACTTCCAAGTTGTCATTCCTTGAGTGCGACACTCGGGGTGGTTCTCACTCCCCGTTTTATCAAATCATCCATCTTTCCATACACGACCCGTGCAAGTACAATTTTTTGACAACGCTATTTAAATGAGAACCGTAAGATAAGCGTTCTGTCATCCACCATGAGTGCAAGGAGCCCGGACTCAACCATCATGAGCAAAAGGAGCATGAGCTCAACCACCACGAGCACAAGGAGCTCGAGCTCGGCCACCATGAGCACAAAGAGCTTGAGCTTAGCCACCACGAGCACAATGAGTTCGAGCTCGGCCACCATGAGCACAAAGAGCCCAAGCTCAACCAGCTTGAGCAAAAAGAACCCGAGCTCAACCACCTTTAGCACCAGAAGCCTGAGTTTGGCCACCATGAAACATAGGTGCCTGAACACGGCTACAACAAGCGCTAGGAGCCCAAGCTCAGCGACCTTCATCACAAGGAGCCCGAGCTCGGAATTGAAAAGTGACGTCATGCGCAAGGCAACGAGGCACTAAAAAGTCCTCATGGGCAAGAGAGGCTCCGACCTCAATCCATAAGACACCCCAAAGTCTTTATGGGTAAGAGAGGCCCCGACTTCAATCCATGAGGCACCCCGAAGTCCTCATAGAAAGGCCCTAACCTCAACCCACGAGGCACCCAAAAGTTAAACGATCGAGGAGGCGAAGATCAACGAAGGCCTCACAGTTTGGGCCAACCAGCCTAGCTAAGGTCCCCAAGTCGAGTCAAACACTGAGTCGGTCTCATTCGGGGCCCAAAGTCGTCAGCTAGGCACCTCTAATGGGCGAAAGGGGCTCCGAACTCAACCCACAAAGCATTCCTAATGACCGAGACTGTCGCATAAGGTCGAGCCGAGCACAAAAGCCGATCTTGAGGTTGGTCAAGGAGGAAACCCAAGAGCTTAGCACCTGGTCCCTTTTGATTTGCGCCCAAGAGGAGCACCATGTGAGGATCCAATGAGCTAAGCCCAAGAAAAGCCTTGGCGGTGACCGTGGGATACTCAAGTTAACCACGATATGAAGAAGAAAAGCACGAGCAAAACAAGAAGGACGGATGCAAGGCCCCAAACTTGGGTGCCAATTTGCCTCAGCAACGCCCTAGGCCACATTGGGCATCCGACAAACCTCATTAAGGGTCCAAAGTCGATTTCGAAGAGGTCACCTAAAGAAAAATGATGGAGTCAAGGGCCAAGTAGGTAAATGATCGACCAAAGCCTTGAGAATTAGTTGGCCTCGACAATGCCTTAGATCGAGCCAAGCACCTGACCGACATCATAGGGGTCCCAAGACTGATCCCGAGGTCAATCGCCAAGGGTATAACAAGAATTCAACATGCCAGCCAACTTTGTGCAAGCATGAGATGGTCCTTGGTAAGGTAATGGGGAGCCCAAATTAAGCGCAAAGAGTGACACGATGGAGATAGAGTGAGCCATCGCTCAGAATTATCCTCTCTCGCTAACAATAACTCGCAACTCGAAAAATAGAGATTGATGATTGATATATTAGAAATGAGTCCGGGCATCATTGGCTTCCTAGAACACTCATGTAATCCCATTACACAAAGCAATAATTCCATTGTGTGTGGGGGGGGGGGGGGGGGGGATTGGGGGGCTAACCCCCAAAATGTGGTTATAAAACGCCATTCTCACAATCCATCCATCCATCAACAAAATTCTCTGTTACGTTTCGTGAACCGACAAAAAAAGAAAATGGCAATTAAGGTAGCCCAGCTAGCTATCCTCCTCCTCCTGGTGGTGGCCAATGTGGCGTTATCCGCGGTGGTGGAATCCACTATGTACTCAGATCCCGCCTCCGTGGGGGCGGCGAGCAGCGGCATAATGGACTTTGATGACGCGGAGGAGATGATGCTGGATTCCGAATCCTCAAGACGAATGCTGTTCAGGACCAGATACCTGAGCTACTCGGTGTTGCGGAAGGACCAGATCCCCTGCGGCAAAAAAGGCCCTTCTTACTATTTCTGCCACTCCCACCACCCCATCCGCCCCTACACCCGCGGTTGCAGCAGGTTCACCCGATGCGGCGGACGGGGGCGTTAAACTTTTTATCATCTCCATCTCTCGCTGCCATCCATGCAAGAAGCATATATAATTTAATATACAATGCGAGAAGAAGAAGCATATCAATTCCAGAACACACACCAATTTCTCATCTCCATCTTCAATTCCAATGTCTTCATTATATATAATATATATTATATTCCTGTCTTTCATCCAATATGTATATGCTTCTTTCTTAACTGTTGAATGAAATGTATGCTTTTCACTTTTCAATTGTATCCAACAAATATATAACTGTTAGTTTATTCAACTGCAACATCACAGATGGAGTATGAACAGTACAGAAAAGAAGAAAACAAATTCCCCCCATGCAAATACATTATCAGAGTATACAGAATTTAACTAAATAAGGAGTAATATATAGTTGCTTTATATAAATATTTTAACAACTAAATAAAAATAAATTTGCAATTCTCATTTGTAATAATATAATAAACTTAATATTTTTTTTTTGAGCCAATAATAAACTTAATATATTTTTATATTTATTTAATTATTTTAGTAAATAAAATTATTATTATTATTATTAATGTAATTACAAAATTTTATAATATTTTTTTTGAATGCTACTAGCTCTATTACATTGTAGTATCTGTTCATATACTTTCTCAACCTACTGAAACACAGAGAGCTAATAACGCCTCCACTGAGGCTTGAACTTACAACCTTCCAAATGGAAGTCCAACCCGGATACCATTAGACCACATAGTCCTGGTACAAAAATTTTATAATATAAATAATATTTTTTTTTTAAAAAGACAAAATTGGTAATGTGAGTGTATTACATCGCCAATTTTGCTTTCACTTATACACCGTGCCATTCATGTTTTTTTTTTTTTAAAAAAAAAAATTATTTTAATTTTAATAAAGGGGTGTTTTGGGTATTTTGTTAAAACATCGCTACTCAAAATAGAACTTTTAAGTTTAGCATTTTCAACCGGACCGAAGTGCATAGTAGATAGGCACAGTCAAGAAATCATTTTAGGTATAATCTCTTCCAAAAATCACTTTAGAAAATAATTAATTTAGCACATGACACTTTTTTTGTGAATATATATGCATTACAAAAACGTATATTATATTACTCACCTCTCTAATTTTCGTCAACTATTTTATTGGATTCTTTAGTCTTTCATTACAAGGCCAATTTATGGACACAAATGATTATAATTTATAAATGAGGAAATTTAGGAATTAAACTTTAAAAGAGGTTAAGAGAAGAAGAAAAAAAGAAAACATTTTCCTTGCATAAAATGACGAATTGAATTTCCAAAATCTACACATTTAGGCAAAAGAGTTTCCAAAACATGTTTTTATTAATGTCCATCACGTATCTAGGTTATCTAATGCAATCTCCACTAGCTAATTTCACCCTGTTAACCAATACTCCTAGCTAGTTGAATACTTGAATTTATGTTTCAAGATTATCCAAATTAAGCGAGTGAGCTTTATTTGCAAATCTGATCAATGAGACCCTTTGTAGTAACTCGAAATGGGTGAAGTTCCAACATATCAATTTTTTTTTTTTTCTGAAGAAAATTAAAGTTCCAACATATCATAAGGCTGGATGGGCATCTTCAACTTAGTAAGAAAGGGGGAAAAAGGGAAAGGAGAAAAAGTTAGAGGGGATGGGATCCGAAAAGACTATTCTCTTTAGAGAAAAAGGGTCATGCATGGTGTGTGGGAACATTGGGCAAATTTTAATGTAGATCCATGATTTATGTAGTAGCGTACACCATGAACTAGTTATCATTCAAATTACACTTCAATTTTTTTTTGATAATATTGTTCTATTTTTCAGCTTAATTTTTTACACACACTAGTTTCATTATAGAAATATCAAAATATTATTTTAATTTTACTACAGTTTCATTTGATAATACATTATTGCATAAGCTCTATTTTTCAGTTTCATTAGCTACACGCACACATTAGTTTAATTATATATAGGAATGTTGAAATATTATTTTAATTTAATTATACTTCATCAGGTTCATTTGACAATATATATTATTGTATGGCTTTACATTTTAGTTTTATTTTCCGCACACACTAATTTCATTATAGTAAAACTAAAGTATCATTTTAATTATACTACACTTTCAATATATATTATTGAATGAGAAATGTTTTAATTTCATTTTTCACACACTGATTTCATTATACAAATACTAAAAAATCATTTTAATTCTACTAAAATTTCATTTCACAACTATAATTCACACAATATTGCGTGAGTTATGATCTATTGTATAATAATTAGAATATGCGTGCCTACCTGCACATGCCATGGATGGTGGGGACAACTGTCTTCCCCACCATCATTGAAAAAAAAAAAAAAAAAAAGCAAAAACAAAAACAATAGTTATGCCTCAACGGCAAAGAGGCTGAAATAATATTTTATTTTATTTTGAAAATATTTGTCTCAATAGCCATGACGCAAAAATAACATTTTTTGTTTTTTATTTCTATATCTATATATAACTTAATTATTTTTTTTAATTTAATTTTTAAAATTTTATTTTGTAATTCAAAAATTATTTTTGTATTTAAGGTTCGAAGAGTAACCTAGTTAACCATTCGAAGATAATTGATTAAGACAACATTCTCTGAGTCAACAGTTCGGAAGTTTAATATCTTAGGTGAATGTGTTCAAGGCAAAGATAGTCCTAGGAGCACATCCCTAAAAAAAATTTTCCTCCAAAGTCAAGACATTTTGTGTAGAACAAAAAGACATGTTCAGTGCAAAGTAAGTCACCAACGGTCGAAAAATCTGACAACTCACCTAACCTCTGGATTACCCGCTAGTCTTTACTCATTGGGTAATATATAACTGTTTGAAATTTATTTCCCTCCAACGAACCTTTTTCAAAGCACCTACAAGTACCTTCTCTCTTACCCCAAAGTACCTTCTCTCAAAGAGATAGAAGGTGTTAGGTCAATTTCTAAGAGTTTTCTAAGTGTCCATAGCTTTTAAAGTTTCCCATCTAGTGACTAGTGAGTAAGAGAGAAAAAAAACTCAAAGTTCATATCCAGATTTCAAAGAGACTTGTGTTGCTTTCAGTCGTGAAGATCAAGACATCAATAGCCAAGCTCTTTAATTTGTTGGAGAAAGAAGAACTTTTTTTTTTCTAACTTTGTAAACTCTACTCGGTAGAAGTAGAAACAGGTGAAGTAAACTGAATGAGGAGTTGAAAAACCTGGTGTAGTTCAAGGCCAGCTTTGTGTTCAATGCATATGAACATCCGTGTTGTACTAAGGGAGAGTGCAATCTTCCTTATGAGTTACACTCCAAGGAGAAGAGTGGAGTAGGCTATGTTGGCCTAACCACTATAAAATTCATCTCTCTCTCTCTCTCTCTCTCTCTCTCTCTCTATATATATATATATATATATATATATATATATATATATATATATATATATATATATATATATACACACTTTATTTTTATTATACGCTTGCATATCTTCTAACAACTAAACCTAAATGTTTTATAAGATCAGCTTACGTGCAAACTAATTTTATAAAGCGTTAACATAATTTCCGTTATGCATACTCGACAAAACGTTAAATCTATCTCTCGGGTACTTTAACAAATCGCAAAAGTTTTTAAAATCTATACACGTCTATGCAGCCCCCCCCCCCCCCCCCCTCTAGACTTGTACCCTAACCCTACCAGGACCAACATAACTCTCACTATTGCATTCAAGTGTGCATCACTGGGGTTACTTGTATATCTACTGAGTTTGCTAACCGCAAAGGCAATATATGGCCTAGTACACCTCATTAGATACATCAAACTTCCAATAATCCTAGCGTATTCTACTTGAGAGATACATCTTCAAAGAATGATGCAGTCCTTGATTCAAATTTTATGTTCTTTGACTTGTGTACTAAAAACAAATAAGCACTACTATTATGTGTATAGCAAATAAAGATACAGTCTACCATTTTATGACCTATCTTCATTTTCTTTGGTGTTGGCACCAATACTTTTGCAAGACACCCCACACTTTCAAGTACTAGTAGGAAGAATTCTTCCTATTCCATAGCTCATAAGGAGTCTTATCGAGCTTTTTGCGGGAAACCTTATTTAAAAGTTAATTTCTTGTCAAAACCGTCTCACCCCACATACTTTGAGGTAGGCCCGAACTTATCAACATTGCATTCACCATCATCTATTTTATTATGCGATTTTTCCATTCGGCACCACCGTTTGATTGAGGTGCGTAACAGCATAAGGTGTCGTACGCTCGTGTATGATACCTACAAAAGTCACCAATATGTGCTTCATACTCACCACCTCTATCACTTCTAACACTCATAATTCTCCGATTAATTAAGTTGGTTTTCCACTTCATTCTTATAATAATGAATGAATTTATCAAACGGCTTCATGTTTGTTCTTAAGTAAATACACATAGTAGTATCGTGTTCTATCATCGATAAACGTGATAAATACATATTAAACCCTTATTATAAATTGGTTAATTTAATTGTCAAAAGGTTAGAATTTATTTTTGTTTTAATATTTGGACCGACTCCTATCAATGGTTCTCAACAGATTTCGGAAGTCTGATCTACTATTCAACATTAATTAATTATTGTGGATATCTTTTATTAATCGCGTGTGGTTAGCTTTATTTGGGGAAAGTTGGTTGAGTGGAAATTAGTATAAAAGGATGTATTTTCCTACAATTTAATTCACGAATTTCAGAGACACTATTTAGAGGAAAATTCTACTTATATTACATATGAGTTTTTACCCAAAATGGTCCCTCGACTATCACTTATTCTCAATTTTGCATTTCGACTTTCAATTGCACCCAATGTGGTCCCTTGACTTTTAAAAACTACCCCAACACTACAAGAAAAATGCACATAGACAACACTAGAAAAACAACAGTTTTTAACAAAAGTGTTGTCTTTTGTATGAAAGACAACAGTTAGACCCAAAACCGTTGTCTTTGACGCAA